AGGTGAGGACATCACTGTAAAGACAGGTGAGTCAGGTGAGGACATCACTGTAAAGACAGGTGAGTCAGGTGAGGACATCACTGTAAAGACAAGTGAGTCAGGTGGGGACATCACTGTAAAGACAGGTGAGTCAGGTGGGGACATCACTGTAAAGACAGGTGAGTCAGGTGGGGACATCACTCACAGGGCAGAATGTTGTTGTATCTATTCTTCCCGCGGTTCTCTGGAAGCAGAGCAGAGTCCAGAGGCTGGTTCCGACCAACATCCTTCAGATCCTTTGAGGAAGAAGCATCATCAGGTTTGGTTAATCTGGTCAGGTTTGGTTAATCTGGTCAGGTTTGGTTAATCTGGTCAGGTTTGGTTAATCTGGTCAGGTTTGGTTAATCTGATCAGGTTTGGTGAATACAATCAGGTTTGGTTAATCTGGTCAGGTTTGGTTAATCTGATCAGGTTTGGTTAAATACAATCAGGTTTGGTTAATCTGGTCAGGTTTGGTTAATCTGGTCAGGTTTGGTTAATCTGATCAGGTTTGGTGAATACAATCAGGTTTGGTTAATCTGGTCAGGTTTGGTTAATCTGATCAGGTTTGGTGAATACAATCAGGTTTGGTTAATCCAGTCAGATTTGGTTAATCCAGTTAAAGGTGATAATCCAGTGAAGAACTGACCTCGTATTCCTCTGACAGCAGGTAGTTGGAGTCAGCCAGCAGTTTGTTGTAGTGCGACTCAAAGTTCATGAGCTTGATGGGACTGAAAGCAGGAAGCAAGGGGTTTATCAGCAAAACCAAAACCTCAAAGTTCAAAACCAGAAATAACAAATCTGGATCTCTCACCTGGAGATTCTTCTGCTGCTGAGAAACAAAAAGAAGAAACAACAAATGAAATAAACTGGTTCAGTTCAGGCGGACCTGTTCCTCAATCATCCAGAAAGACATCCAGACTTTTTTAAAACTTTAAAGCAAACGGTGTTTGCAGTTTGCCACAGCATGGTGACATACTGATCAATGAGAAGAGTTTTTTTTACATTATAATGAAAAAAGGTCCCATAATTAATCAATAGAAGTGATTATAGATTGTTTCTTACCCTCTGACGCCCAGCTGGACTCCTGCAGCTGATCTCTCTCTCCTTACACTCCTCCTGACTGCAGACTCAACCTCCACCCTGATGGAGACACGGCAGCACCAGCAGCTTTGTTATACCTATCATACCTGACACTCAGGTGTGTCTGTAGATACTCACTGTTTGCGAGCCCTGTGCCTGCAGAGCAGCAGAGCCGTGATCGCCACCATCATGGCGATGAGGAAGAGTCCGGCGCTGATGCCTTCGATGACGCCACTCAGCGGTTCTGAAGGACGAAACATAGTTGCTGCTGTTCAGAACCACCTGTTTCTACCTCTCACCTGTGTTCTTCACTCTGATTTGATTTTTTAACTGTGGTTCCCAAAGTTGGGTTTGGTACCATCATAAAAAACAAAGTCTGATGTCTAAATAACTGCTACAAAAAGATAAAAGATAATGGTCAAAAATGCATAAAAGCCTACATAAAGCTACGTAGCAAACACTTGGTTAAATAGTCCAGGTAATCACAAGTACACTGTTGAGTTCAGGAAGGCCTCACCCGTTTCTGTGAGGACTGGTGGAGACAGGAAGGTGTCGGTGAACAAAGGAGACCAGGACTTTGAGTCTGTGGTTTCTCTGTCAAACAGCTGAGTGAACGCTCTGACGCTGATCCTGAGAGACAAACAAAAACATTTCTTTCTTCTTGCACTGAGGTCATAGCTATATGACTGTGGGACAACAAGAGGGTGGGCTCAGTACCTGTAGGAGGTCTTGGATTTAAGTGGTCCATCACAGAAGTTGTTCAGTTCCTTGCCAGACTCTGGATGATTCTGGTCTCTGTGGTCACAGGGCCCCCCCAGCAGGTCCATCCCTGTCCCCAGGCTGATGTTGTAGATGTAGGTGCCACTGTCAGGACCATCAGAGCAGCGGCTGGCAAAGTAGCTGGTCTGGTAGGACTTGATGGAGCTGTTGGACCTGTAGTCTGGGTATGAGGGCAGGGGGTGCTGCTGGTCCGGGTGCATGTCGTCGACACCTGCAGACAGGTCAGGTGGTTCCAAGAAGATTCTGATGTTAGTGAAGCTTGTTGAGACTTTACATCTTTTCGAGATTCATGTCAGGATCAGGTTGGGGTCCCCTATAGACCTGAGGGGTCCTTGATGGGTTTGAGGCCCACCTTCAGACTCGGTCACAACCACGGCGAAGAAACTGACAGCTCCATTGACATCACTGAACCAGCTGCAGTTAAACTGGAACACGATGGATGATTTGGTGACCACAGCAGACTTTTCACTGACCCGGGTACTGACAGGGGGTCTAGGTGGACCTGCAAGGACAACAGGAACAAGACTTCTTTAACTGCCTCCACTTTCCATCACAGCCCACTAGAGGTTACCCTCCACCCTCTCGTACAGTCAATCATGGTGACCACGCTGTCCTCCGCCGCCTCACTGGTGGACCCGTCAGAAATGACCTTCACGGCGATGGCATAGAGTTTGTGGGGCTCCAGCTGCGTGATGATGTAACTGGTAGAATCTCGCCCAGTGCGTCGTGAGTAGACCAGAGTGTGGGATTCCTGGTGGAGGCACTCGATGGAGTAGGAGTCGAAGTCGGCCTCTGGAGGCCCCCAGGAGCAGGAGATGGAGGTGGAGCTCTGAGGGTGGCAGTGAAGGCTGTGGACTCGCTCCGGTTCTGCAGAGAGATCAGGTACTGACATGAAAACAGATATGGTTTGAGTTTTATTTCAAGGTGTGGCTGATCGAAACAGGTCACAGTCTTCAAGCTGCCTGCAGAATAACTACAGGGTCTGCAGCAGAAAAAAAAACTGATGAATCTTTTAGACTTCTGGGTTCCTCTCAGGAACCTCATCTGGTTTAGATCTGGTTCAGTTCAGACTGTTTCCATCTATGGTGACATGATGGTGGAAAGAGCTCCCAAAGTCTATCTGGACAGTTCCTCTCTACCTGTACCTGCTCTTCTAACACCTCCAACACCCAATGGATGGATGGATGGATGGATGGATGGATGGATGGATGATTGGATAGATGGGTGGATGAATTAATGAATGGATGGATGGATGTTTGATGGATGGGTGGATAGATGGATGATTGGATGGATGGATGGATGGATGGATGGATGGATGGATGATTGGATGGATGGATGGATGGATGGATGGATGGATGGATGGATGGATGGATGGATGGATGTTTGATGGATGGATGGATGGATCAGAGTTTCTGACTGAAGTCTCTTTAAAACATGGATTCTGATTTTCTGGTTTATAAATAAATAGAATGTATTCATTTGTAAATAAATCTATTTTCTTTGATCTTTTTCTTGATTTTTCTTTTCCTTGAATTTTTTTAGATGTCAGTGAGCTGCTGCCTCTTACTGGTTCTGATGCTGTTGAGAATCGGGTCGCTGTAGGTGGGCGTGCCCCCAGGCTGCATGGCCCCACTGACGGTGCGTAGGCTGAAGGTGTACAGTCGTCCGGGGAACATCCCTTTCAGGATACGGCTCCTGGACGTTCGGCTGTGGTACGGGTTGATGACTGTGAGCCGGTCCCGAGGAGTCCACTTCAGGTCAAAGTCGTCATAATCAGAATCTACAGGACCGCTCCAGGTGATCTCCAGCGAGGTGTTGGTGACCCCACCGAACAGGAATGACGTAGGAGGTTTTGGAGCTGAGTTCGGAGAAAAGTAAAGCAGCTGGTTCTGTTACTGAAGAACAACGTGTTTAAAGTCATCATGGATGGGAGAAGGTTCTGACCTGTCCGGCCGACGGTGCTGGCCTGGTTGTGGAGCTCTCCGCTCAGACTCAGAACCTCGGCTCGGTACTGTCGGCCAGGTACGAGGTCCGAGAAGATGAACCTTGTGGCCTCTGAGCCCAGTTGATGCTTAGCCTGCCGGGAACCGTCAGGGTTGTAGAGCGACAGCAGGTATCCACTCACATCACCATCACCCCGGTCCCAGTCCACCCACAGAACATCAGACCGGTTTCCACTCCGAGCCTTCAGAGACGCCACTGCTGCTGGGACTGCGGAGCAAAACGTGATACAACCTGCACTTCAAACATGGTCAGAACATCCAGCTGCACTCACCTGTCCTGGCCCACATAAGCGTCTGGTTGGTCTGGTCTCCACTGTGGATCAGGATCACCACCCTGTATGGGGCTCCAGGTCTGAGACCCTGGAAGGAGCACAGCTGAACATTGGGTTGGACCCGCCGGCTCTCCTGCAGCGACTCATCACTTTTATACAGAAAGACTTCATAAAACTGGAAGTCTCCCTCAGGAGGAGACCAGTGGAAGGTCAGGCTGCTGGTGGTACTGGTTCTGATGGACAGGTCCGTGATGGAGGCGGGGCCTGGTGAGAAAGAGGGATAATTTTCGATCAGTACTGGAGAAAAACAAAACGTTTTGTTTTCCGTTGTTGGTAGAAACAACAAGTCTTACGTGTTCGAGCCTCGGTGCTGACGCCCAGGCTGAGGACCCCCCCGCTGGTGGTCTGGACCAGGATTCGGTACTTCTTCCCCGGCATAAGGCCATCAAACCTGTAGCTGTTGAGTCCAAAGGGCTGTGTGGCATTGGTGACCAGGCTGCCTCTGTCATCCAGAACCTGCAGGATGTATCCATCTGCCAAACCCAGCGCTTCCTGCCAGCTCACCTGGAGGCTGCAGGTGCTCAGGACCGGGTCCACCTGCAGGCCTGTGACCGCTAACGGGACTACAGAGCATAAACTTGGTGTTAGAGGTCATCGAGGGGTAAAGTGGTTAGGGTGAAGGCTGCAAGGGGGCAGAACATACAACAGAATGGATGATGTAGTTCAGTTCGAGAGTGGTTCTGACCTGTGCGTCCTGCAGCAGTGTTGTTGTTCAGCAGCTCTCCACTCATGGACTGGACCACCACGGTGTACATCTGACCCGGCTGCAGCCAGTCGAATGTCACCTCATTCTGGTGCTTTAGGACATTTCGGACAATCGGCTCTCGGCTTGCTCTGTAGAGGAACACCAAGAACTCGTCCACGTCACCTGGCCCAGGAGTCCAGCTCACCTTTAGGCTGCTGCTGTCCCCACTGACATGGATGTTCTTCACCCTGCTGGGAACTGACGAGGAGGAGAAACATGTTTGAAAAGAAAGTCTGGGGACAGAATCATCCGACTGTGGTCCTGGTCCTGACCTGTGCGGCCCTCGATGTGCTGGGCCTTCTGATTCGGACCGCTGTAGGTGGACACCAGGATCTTGTAAAGCCGTCCAGGTGTGAGCGACGACAGGATGCACTCTCCCACGCCGCTGCCCAGAGTGATAGGAGGAAACACCTTCATATCGCTGAACAGCAGCTGGACCTCGTAGTGATCCACGTCGCCCGGAGCTGCGGACCACGTCACCCGCAGCTCCTCTGTCCCCTGACCTGCCAGAACCAGGGACCGGACCGCTGCCGGGACTGAAGGAGTGGGAGGAGCTATGGTTAGTACCTGTTACTTGTGTTGGATCGAATGGCCCTTTTCCACTATCTCCTCTACAGCACGGTTTGCGTGGTTTTCCATTACACTTCAGTAACAACTCTGGTGGGTGAATTTGTCATAAAGTTGGGTGGCCTTCGATACCGAAAATTGATGCCACATGCTGGTGGCAGTTATGCTCCATTAAGCTACTTGCCAACCAACATTAAACATAGAAGAAGAAGACCCCAAAAAATGATTGATAGATAGATACGCAACACAGCAATGGAGGACTTGGTAGCATTGTTGTTGCAAATGGTGATTCAGGTTGTGAGAGTAGCTCTTGTGACGCAACCAATGACTACAACCCCCAATCAATTAGTGACCGACAGTCTTCTAACGTTACATTTTCAGGCCAGCACAGTACAATTGGAATCACAGCGCAGTACGTTCTGAAAAAGAGGCTGGTTCCATGAATCCTTGCTAGTGGAAAAGCCTTGGAACTGTGGAGAGCCAAGTCGAAACATGCTGTTGAGGCACTAGTGAAAAAGGAGCACAAGTGTCTACTCACAGGTTCGGCCATGTGTGGAGGCACTGGCTTCATACAGTCCGCTCCAGGTGTTCACCAGCACTGTGTAGAGCCTGCCCGGTACCAGGCCCGTGAACACACACTCACTCTGGGTCTTCCGCACCGTCTTGTTTTGCAGGAACGTGTTGTTGTGTTTGATGAACACCTGGTACAGGTCAAAGTCTCCGGCAGCGTGACGCCAGTAAACCTTTAAGTAGTCGTCCCGAGCACCGTGGGTCGCCGTGGGGTTCTGCACCTTTGACGGTTCTGGTGGGTTTCAAAAAGCTATTTATTTTTTCACAAAACTTAAACAACAACCACACAAAGAGACGCAGCACTCACGTGTTCTTTCCCGGATGAAGGTGTGGTTCTGGTACCGGCCGCTGCAGGTGCTGATGGAGATGTTGTAGAGACGTCCAGACACCAGAGAGTTGAAGACGCAGCCAGGGTTGGACTTAGACACAACCACGGAGTGAAGCGTCCTGTCGTGATCTCTCAGGGTCACCAGGTAGCTGTCCACCTCCCCCGCAGCCTGGTTCCAGGACACGGTGAGAAAGTCCGTTCGACCATTGTTACTGACCCGAACATCCGTGACCGCCGCTGGCACTGAGGAGACAGGCTCAGAGTCAGGCCTGCAGGTGAACTGAATCAGTTCCAGATTTTAGACCACAGATCAGAAAGGGTCTTGGACTCTGTCATCAAGTGTTTGCAGTTTCGGCATCATGGACATCAGGCAATCAGCTGAAAAGGGTTTCTGTAACAGACGTCCTCCTCATGAGTGAAGACAGGAAGTCTACAACCAACAAACCTACACGTTCTTTTGTGTGGCTGTCGTTGTCAACACTTCCTGAAAATTCCTCCCAAATTCCGGCTTTTCAATAATATCCGGCTTTCAGCTGAACCTATACACTAACAGGTCCTGATCTGCAGCTGGACCAGCAGCTGAAACCTGAAAATATTGAGAGTTTTATTTCTGGTCGATGTTACAGGTACGTTAAAATTCATTCCTTATGTTTCTGACTGTAACAAAACTTAAATTCATATTTCTTTTTCTAACATTGAAAGACTTTGTTTCTTTATTGGGAGCAGGTCCGAATTGCAGGCGAGCCTCTACTGGACCTGCTGTCATCAGAACCCTGATCCAAGTCCAGAACCATCACAGAATCCTGATTCAAGTATAGAACCCTCATAGAACCCTGATCCAAGTCTAATACTATCACAGAACTCTGATCCAAGCTCACAACAATCACAGAAATAGTCCTTTGGATGTCTTGTCTTCCTTCACCATATCATGATACTACTACCACCATGCTCACCTCTGGTTACAGTGTTCAAAATGCTAGCTAAAAGTAACAAATATTAACTACAAGCTAAAAGCAGCAGGATAGTAGCTAAAAGCTAAAAGTAACTGATTAGTAGCTAAAAGGGGAAGAGTCTGCAAGTGGAGGATTAAAGTTCAGGTGACCTCACCTGTGCGCCCTTCAGCTACAGCCTGCCTGGAGGTGAGTCCAGCTCTGACTGTGGTGACCACCACCTTGTATAGAGCTCCTGGCCTCAGGACCTGGAACCTGACGCTGCTGATGTTCACCTGCACGCTCTCGTTCTTGATGACGCTGCTGTCGTGGACCAGCAGGACCTGGTACGAGTCCGGATCCCCGGGCGCCGGCTCCCACCGCGCCTCCAGGCTGTCGCTGCTGTCCAGGTTGGAGACCTGCAGCCTACCGACTGGAGCTGGTGCTGAAGAGACGAAGACAAAGATGTTACGGGTCGATCAACGGAAATCATGTGACGGGTCACTCAGATGTACCGGTCCACGCCGTCAGGGAGGCGGAGCTGCTCTGGTTCCCGCTGTTGGTCGTCACGGTGACAGTGTAGCGGCGTCCCGAGGTCAGGCCTTTGAAGGTACAGTCTCTGGCCCCTGAACTCAGGATCCTCTGAGCCTCTGGAGTGTCTGAGTTTTTGTCTTTGAGGACCACTGTGAAGCCGTCCCACTGTCCCACAGGTTGACCCCACCTGACGCTGAGAGACGTCTCGTCAGCCTGACGGAGGACCAGCTGACTCACTGACTGCGGCGCTGAAATGAGGGGGGCGTTATTTTTAACTGTCCTGCAGTACACTTCCTGTTAAAATAGTTTTTCTTCCCACTGTCACCAATCAGAAGGCTCAATATAAATATAATCAATATCAATATAAACTGACCGAGCCAGCTGCTGCAGCGAGCCGTGTTGCTCAGATCTCCACTGTGCACAGTCAGCTCTACAGCGTAGCGGCGTCCCGGGACCAAACCGAGGCTACGTACCGATGCCTCGAACCGCCTGCTGGTTTTACTGACCGTTTGATTCAACAGAACGGTCAAACTGTCGGAGAGCAGCACCCTGTAGTTGTCCCAGTCGCCTCCGGGGGGCGACCAGCTGACCCTGAGAGCGCTGTAGTCGATGGACACGGAGAGGTCCGACACCTGGTCAGGAACTGAAAGACCAGGAAGTGGTCCAAAAAAAACTGGCTCAGTTTGGTCAAAACGATGCAGAGAGAAGCTTTGTTTTGTTCTTTATTCAGCTCAATGAAGGAAACAAACCATAAAAACATCGACAGGTCTTCTGTGTTTTTGTGTTTCTGACTCAGAACTTTTTTTTTGTGGGACACCTGTATCTTTTTTTTTGGACCAACTGTTATTCTCAGACTGAACCGGGTCCTACAGTAGTCCAGAAAAACAGAATATTTAGTATATACAGGGGCTAGACAAAGAAACTCAAACACCTGTCATTTTAGTGTAGGAGGTTTCATGGCTAAATTGGACCAGCCTGGTGGCCAATCTTCATTAATTGCACATTGCACCAGTAAGAGCATAGTGTGATGATTCAATTAGCAGGGTAAGACCACAGTTTTGCTCAAAATATTGCAATGCACACAACATTATGGGTGACATACCATCAAAAGGGGACAAATTGTTGGTGCACGTCTTGCTGGTGTATCTGTGACCAAGACAGCAAGTCTTTGTGATGTATCAAGAGCCACAGTATCCAGGGTACAAGAAGGACCAACCACACCCAACAGGATTAACTGTGGATGCAAGAGGAAGCTGTCTGAAAGTGATGTTCAGGTGCTAACCCGGACTGTAGCCAAAAAACATAAAACCAAGGCAGAATTAAATGTGCACCTCAACTCTCCTGTTTCCACCAGAACTGTCCGTCAGGAGCTACACAGGGTCAATATAGACGGCTGGGCTGCTACAGCCAAACCTTTGGTCACTCGTGCCAATGCCAAACGTTGGTTTCAATGGTGCAAGGAGCACAGATCTTGGGCTGTGGACAATGTGAAACGTATTATTCTCTGATGAGTCCAACTTTACTGTTTTCCCCATATCTGGGAGAGTTACAGTGTGGAGAAGCCCCAAAGAAGCATAGCACCCAGACTGTTGCATGCCCAGAGTGAAGCATGGGGGTGGATCAGTCATGGTTTGGGCTGCCTTATCGTGGCATTCCCTTGGCCCAATGCTTGTGCTAGATGGGCGTGTCACTGTCAAGGACTACCGAACCATTCTGGAGGACCATGTGCATCCAATGGTTCAAACATTGTATCCTGAAGGCGGTACCGTGTATCAGGATGACAATGCACCGATACACACAGCAAGACTGGTGAAAGATTGGTTTGATGAACATGAAAGTGAAGTTGAACATCTCCCATGGCCTGCACAGTCACCAGATCTAAATGTTATCGAGACACTTTGGGGTGTTTTGGAGGAGCGAGTCAGGAAACGCTTTCCTCCACCAGTATCACGTAATGACCTGGCCACTATACTGCAAGAAGAATTATTAAAAGTCCCTCTGACCACTGTGCAGGACTTGAATATGTCATTCCCAAGGCGAATTGACGCTGTAAAGGAGGCCCGGTGTTTCATTGTCCAACCCCTGTATATTTTTCTCCTATTTGCTTTGTTGCAGCCTGCAGCATCACCACTAGATGGCACTAATCCAGTTTTACAGGGTCATAGGTTGGACTGAGATCACATGACTGAACTCACCTGTCCTCCCTGTTGTCCTGCTTTCTGAACTCTGACCTCCAGCCAATGAGGTCACGGACAGCAGGTAGAGGCTTCCAGGGGTCAAACCCTCAAAGACTGCCTCTGTGACGTTGTGGGGCAGGCTGTGTTGTTGAGGGGTTGATCCAGGACCCCACAGGGTGACCAGGTAGCCCTCCACATGTCCCTCAGGTGGGATCCAGGAGGCCCGGAGTCTCTCTGAGCTGCCGTCGTTGTTGAGGATCAGGTCTGAGACGGCGGCTGGAACTGCGGAAGAGGAGGGAACAATCTGGAACAAACTGCCTTCGGTTGACAGGAAACAGCTGCTGCAGGTGAACCTACCTGTGAAGGCTCGAGTGGAGGTGGAGCTCTGCAGGCTGGCGGCCTCTGTTACCACGGTGACAGTGTACAAAGTCCCCGGCTGCAGGTCGTTCAGCCCGATAAAGGTGGTGGTGTTCTTCACAGTGATGTTCCTCAGAAGAACCCCATCCTGGTCCACCAGCAGAACCCTGAAGTTCTCCGTCCTGCCCGGCCCGGCCCGCCAGAGTACGTTGAGGCTGTCTGAGGACGAGGACGCCACCCTCAGGCTGCCCACGGCAGAGGGAGCTGCAGGAAGAACAGAGCAAACACCGCAGAGGAACCTGATGAGAACATCTTTCCTCAGAGTGGAACCGGACCAGGAACCTCACACCTGAAGAGGTTCTAGATCTCACCTGTCACCGTGATGGTGTGCACCGGAGCGGCGCTCCTGTTCCCTGACCAAGCCACCATGCTGATGTTGTAGAGAGTTCCAGGGACCAGCAGATTGAAACCAGACTGGGGGGCAGCAGAACCAATGATTCTGGTACTGCGGACTGATCCAGAGCTGGTGTCCTCCAGGGACACGTCATACCAGTCCACGTGTCCAGCAGAACGGGACCAAAATATACGCAGACCAGTGGAATTACCTGGAGCTGCAGCTGGACTTTCCTGGTCTAACTGGACCTCGAGATGTGCTGGACCAACTGGGTCTGAGACAAAATAAAAAAGACTGTGGGCAGAGAGGACCAAAGATTCTGGACTGGTCTACATTTACAGACACTCTGAGACAAACTCGGTTATCAAATCGTTTTTAAAACTCATTGAAGGTTTGGACTGAAGGTTTTGAATTTTTAAAAACTGGACCTGGTCAGACTCAGACCACCAAACGTCTTTATCAGAGAATCCATGAAACCAGTTTGAACAGGACAGAACATGTTTGGTCAGCCTGGGACAGGTTATAGAATGTTTATTTAGGTTTTGACAGATTTAGAGGTGATTGAGACAGACTGACAGATTCCACACTACAGATTTAGACACATTTGAACATATTAGGACAGTTTTAGGACAGTTATGGTTCTGGTGGTTCAGGTGAAGGGGTTTGAGCTGCAGCGTGAGTCAAACAGGAAACAGAAAAACTGAGCGGGCGGGACAGGATGGGGACAATGACCCTCCAACACACAAAGTCAGACCTTAACTCTGTCCTTGAACAGACTTCTCTACTTCCTGTCTTCAGGTCATTAACACCCCAGAGACAAAAGGTCCATCAATCAAAAGACAAACTGAGTTCCAAAGACCAGACAGAAATAACAGAAATGTTGGAAATGTGAGACAGAGACAGGGACAATGAGACAAACTGTGAGACAGGGACAATGAGACCAACAGTAAGACAGAAACAATGAGATCAACAGTAAGACAGGGACAATGAGACAAACAGTGAGACAGGGACAATGAGACCAACAGTAAGACAGAAACAATGAGATCAACAGTAAGACAGGGACAATGAGACAAACAGTGAGACAGGGACAATGAGACAAACAGTAAGACAGGGACAATGAGACAAACAATGAGACAGAGACAATGAGACAAACAGTGAGATAGGGACAATGAGACCAACAGTAAGACAGGGACAATGAGACAAACAGTGTAACGGGAACAGTGAGACAAACAATGAGACAGGGACAATGAGACCAACAGTAAGACCGGAACAATGAGACAGGGACAATGAGACCAACAATTAGACAGGGACAATGAGACAAACAATGAGACAGGGACAATGAGACCAACAATTAGACAGGGACAATGAGACAAACAATGAGACTGAGACAATGAGACAAACAGTGAGACAGGGACAATGAGACAAACAATGAGACAGGGACAATGACACCAACAGTAAGACAGGGACAATGAGACAAACAATGAGACAGGGACAATGACACCAACAGTAAGACAGGGACAATGAGACAAACAATGAGACAGGGACAATGACACCAACAGTAAGACAGGGACAGTGAGACAGTGAGACAGGGAAGGGGAGACAAAAACATTTCTAACTTTTTATTTTCCTGAACCCGATGAAACTGATCTCATTGTGGCTCATCCTGCAGGTAAGGTCTCACCTGTGCGCACTGAGCCATGGCTCCTCCCACCATACTTCCTGGAGGTCACCGTCAGCTGGTACAGAGTTCCCGGGTCCAGCTGAGTCATGTGACAGATGAAGACATGTCCAGACTGTCCATCCGGCTCACAGAGGACCGTGTCCGGTCCAACACCTGGATCTGCTGTGATGTTGAGGTCAGGTGACAGACAGGTGGAGATGAGCCGAACCACGACTGAGTCTGAGCCGGACCAGACCTCCATCAGATCCACCGAGCACCACACTGAGGTCTGGACCTGGAACAGAAAATGAGTTAAATCAGATGAGTCTGAAGGTCCAGGAGCCAATGGAGACCATTTGACCCGTTCTGAAGTTTTCATCCAAAAGTCTAAAGACAGGTGAGTCAGCAGAACACTCACAGGTGTGCTGGTTGATGTTCTGGTACCAGCAGGTGTCGGTGTGGTCCTGGTAGTCCACAGTGTTGTAGACAATGTGGTTGTTGTAGCAACAGGTGTTGTAACAGGTGTGGTTTTGGGTGTGCCGGGTCCAGGTGTGGTGTCAGGTAAAGTTTTAGGTGAAGGTTCAGGTGGGCCTTCTGGAAAAGGTTTAAGTGTAGTTGGCACAGGTGTGGTTTCAGGTGAAATTCTAGGTGCAGCAGGTACAGGTGTGGTTTTGGGTGTGCCAGATCCAGGTGTGGCTTCAGGTAAAGCTTTATAAGTAGTAGTTCCAGGTGTTGTTTTAGGTGCAACAGGTACATGTGTGACTTCAGGTGTGACTTCAGGTGCTGCAGGTACAGGTAATGTTTGAGGTGTAGTTTTAGGTGAAGCTCCAGGTGTGGTGTTAGATGATATTTTATATGTTGTTTGAATAGGTGTGGTAGATCCAGATGTGACAGGTCCAGGGAAGGTTTCAGGTGTGCTGTCAGGTAACTTTTCATGTGGTGTTTGTACAGGTGTGATGTCAGGTATAGTAGATACATGTATTGTTTTAGGTCTGGTTTCAGGTGATGTTTCACGTATTGTTTGAACAGGTGTGGTAGATCCAGGTGTTGCTGCAGGTGTGGTAGATCCAGGTGTTGCTTCAGGTGTGGTAGATCCAGGTGATGCTTCAGGTGCTGCAGGTACAGGTAATGTTTGAGGTGTAGTTTTAGGTGAAGCTCCAGGTGTGGTATCAGATGACATTTTATATGTTGTTTGAACAGGTGTGGTAGATCCAGGTGTTGCTGCAGGTGTGGTAGATCCAGGTGTTGCTTCAGGTGTGTTAGATCCAGGTGTGACAGGTCCAGGGAAGTTTTCAGGTGTGCCATCAGGTAACATTTCATGTGGTGTCTGTACAGGTGTGATGTCAGGTGTAGCAGGTACATGTATTGTTTTAGGTCTGGTTTCAGGTGATGTTTCGTGTATTGTTTGAATAGGTGTGGTTTCAGGTGTGTTGCCAGGTGAAGCTCCAGGTATGGCAGGTACAGGTGTGGTCTCAGGTGAAGTCTCTGGTGTGTCAGCTCCTTCAGTCACACCCACAGAAGTTTTGTAATGGTGGGTGGAGCCTGCAGCTGAAGATGGAGTTTGGGTAGCAATAGGTTCTGTCTCAGCAGACATCAGGTGTGACTCCTCAGGTGTGTCAACTTCAGTGGGCGGAGCTAAAGTATAACTCTCCCTTGTTGCAGCTCGATGTGATGCGTTTGACCTAGAAACACCAGAAAGTCCTTCTGTAGCTGCAGATTCAGTCCCAGACCAGAACTCAGACGAGACTCTAAAGTTCTTTGTTTCACCTGTGTTCACCTGTGGGTACCCTGCTGAGGAAACCATCCTCGTGGTTCTAGTTCCGCCGGACTCTGTCTGGTTTCCAATCAGGTAAGACAACGTGTTGAATACGTTTGACTGCACTGATACGGCTTCATCCCTGAAGGGTAGGTCTCCTCCTTTTGATTTGTTTGACGTACCTGATTGGTTTGTGGTGAACCCAGCTGGATCAGATGCAACATCCGATTGGTCGGTGGTGGACCCAGCCGATTGGTCGGTAATGGACCCATATAGATCAGATGAGACACCTGATTGGTTGGTGGTGGACTTATCTGGACCAGATGAGACGGTCAAGACATTTGATTGGTCAGTAATGGACCTATGTAGACCTGATTGGTCAGTGGTGGACCTATATAGACCAGATGAGACACCTGATTGGTTGGTCGTGGACCCTGCTGGATCAGATGCAACACCAGATTGATTAGCATTGGACCTATCTGGACTAGATGAGACAATCAAGGCATCTGATTGGTCGGTGGTGGACCTAGCTGGACCAGATGAGATACCCAAATGGTTGGTGGTGGACCCAGCTAATTGGTCCGTAATGGACCTATGTAGACCTGATTGGTCAGTGGTGGATTTAAATAAACCAGATGAGACACCTGATTGGTTTGTCGTGGACCCTGCTGGATCAGATGCAACATCTGATTGGTCAGTGGTGGATCCAGATGGATTGGAAGAGACCATGTGGTCCACATTTACATCTGATGGCTTTGTGACTAAAGGTGACACATCTGGATGTAAATCTGGAGGTTTGGTGGCGTTCACATGGGCAGAAGCACCATCAGCTGTTGACTCGTGAAAACTAGAGGTTCTGATGTGTCGGGTGGTTCTGTCTGGTAATGGATCAGTAGCTCTGGCTCTAGCAGGACTGCTGACGGACTCAAAGACACTAGAGAGCTCTGCCGGTTTATTTGTAGACGAATGAAAGATGGAGGATGTTGTGTCTGAAAATAAGAAGAGCCAGAGTTATGAAGACGTCTTCATTTAAGATGAATCAACACATTTGTGGCGACAAGCGTAAAATAAAATAAAGTAAAGTTTTCATTTTTTAGCTCAATTTCTGAGTGTAAAAGCCTAGTTCTATTGTAATTTAGCTCACTGTTCTTAAATTTAAATGTTAAATTCTAAATCTAAATGTAAAAGCTAAATATAACTTGTTAAAGTTTACATTTAAGAATTTCAAAATGGAACACAGACCTTGCCGTTTGTGTTGTGACATCATTTTGCAACAAAAGCAACCAATAATGTCGCTAACTATGCTAATGCTGCTAACTCTGCTAATGTTGCTAACTCTGTTGATGCTACTAACTCTGTTAATGCTGTTAACTCTGCAAATGCTACTAACTCTTCTAATGCTACTAACTCTTCTAATGCTACTAACTTTTCTACCGCTACAAACTCTTTGACTTCTACTAATTCTGCTAATGTTGCTAACTCTGCTAATGCTACTAACTCTGCTAATGTTGCTAACTCTGCTAATGATACTAACTCTACTAATGCTTTTACAATGCTATCTTTAGCAGTGTTAGCAGTGTTAGCAGCACTAGCAGTGTTAGTGTTTGCTTTTGTCGCAAGATGATGACGTCACAACAAAAGCTGCGTACCAACATTCTTAAATTCTTAGATGTAATACTTAACTTTTACATTTAAATTTACACATTTCAGCCTAGGATTCAAGATTTACAAATTACGTTTAGATATAACATTTCACATTCAAATTAATATTTAGTTAAACAAATAGCAGATTGTAAGAACAGTGAGCTAAATAACAATGAAATATTAGTGGAAATATGCTAACTAGGATTTTACCCCCAAACAGAGCTGAATAATGAAAATGTGTTAGTGACATATTTAACATTTTATTTTTCCACTTGAAGCCTCAAAAAGAGATACAGTCTGCTCTGGTAGTCACTATGCAGAGTTTGTGTCAGTGCAAACTAGAGGACAAAGGACTAAGGTTTAATC